TTTTGGAGGTGGGGGGTGTGTTCTTTTGTTACTCTTTTCCCTCAACTGCTCACTGCTAGACAAACTCAAGGTGTTCTGCCAGTCCAACTTGGACTTTTCCTGCTGAATTAATTTGTCCCTTAAAAACTTTTAACACTTGCTAGAACAAAGAGAAAATGCTGTTGACTTAAGCTGGCTCTGGCAGACTTATGGGGTTTATGCCCATCACAATAGTTAATGTAAAGATATGTTGGATAGGGTGTGTTTCCTATAAAGGAAAAAATAGGGATTTGTTAGCTACAGCACGAATGAACAGCTGAGTAATCACTGATAGCATGGAACTGTGCTACTACCTCCCTGTGTGTGTGCTTTTAGCATGCCATAAGTGGAAGATGACATATTCCTATTTCAAACAGATTCTTCATGCAAAAAGTACCCTTGTGTGCCTGAGAAATGTCGTGAGGAAACTGTTGCAGAGAGTGCTAGAAGTTCACACCAGGCCTTAGAGCACACTAGTTTTCCCTCATAGACAAGACCTTGAGGTGACAGCAAAATTCATGCTATTGTTGTTACTATTAATAAATATATTGCTATATTAAGCATATTTGGACCTGCTTTTTCACTAATTGTAGTTGAATTTTAACAATAGTCAATACTGCATCAATTCTGTTCTGGTTTCTTTAAGGATGCTTTTTTGATTCTCTTACGTGAATCAACGGCCTGTTTCTCAACTGTTATAAGACTGTGGCTTACTCAACGTAGTGATGCGGTATCAAATCCGTTTTCAATGTGCATTTTTATAGAATCTTATTCAACCTTATGAATGGTTCTGCATGTATTTTCTTTCTTGCTAAAGAATTACTATGCCTTCTTACTTGCAAACTACTGAACACTTGGGAATTTTTCTCCTGAAATAAATTCAGTGAAATTGAACTGTTAATTCTGTTAAATAGATAAGATTGAAATACTTTCATCTTATGAAATCAACATAATTATTATGAGGGTTGGTAACACATACCTGTGGAACTGCTTTTACAAGACATTTAAATTATTTTGGTGTGTAGCAAACTTGTGATTATTTTTCTGTGTATATTGACATAGTATCATTAACTTTGAGAGTCTTGTATTAATTGCACAAAGATGAAATAACAGGAAGATTTACTGCTGATGTTGTCATGACCAGGACTAAAGTGGTTGTGCTTGGGGTTTCGGTAGTTTTTGTTTGGGGCATTTGTGGCTTTTTAGCTTTAGGGTTTGTTTTTAGTTTGTTTGGTTTCTAATGAGTGTTTCCTTCTGTCCCTGTCCCATACCTGACCCTGAATTTTATAAAGCATGCTTGCTTTTTATTTCTCATCCTTTCTTTCTAGCGTCCTCTTTCCAAGTATGGGAAGGAAGGAAACTACGTAAGGATTATCTAAATGTATGCAAACCTACTGAATTCCTCTAAACTGAAAAAACAAATGTTCTAATAAATGTATAATAACAAACTTGCATATGAAGAAAGAGGGATAGATCTTAACAAAATGCTAATTTGTTAGTCTTGCTTTTCTTCAGCAAGTCAGTGGGTTACCCAGTATCCTCATGGAGCAAAAATCTGAGCCTGAATCATAGAATAGTTAAGGTTGGAAAGGACCTTAAGATCATCTAGTACCACCCCTCCTGCCATGGGCAGGGGCACCTCACACTAAACCATGTCACCCAAGGCCTTGTCCAACCTTGCCTTGAACACCGCCAGGAATGGAGTAAATAAAAAAATATGTAAGACTCCCATTAACAGCCACTTGACCAGATGATGGTAGTGATTCTAAAACTGCAGAAATTAAAAGCTTGAGAATGTAAGAAAAAGTTTATAGTGGCATATTTGAATTGTTTTCATGTAAATTAGTCAAGTATCATGACAAACCATCATCCCAAGAGTGAACTTTTTCAGTTGGTATCAGGTTGTGTTATGGTAGAGCTGATCAAAGAACCTGTAAGAGAAGGCGATTCAGAGGACCTGGTTTATAATGTCAATAACAAAGACACAGTCTTTTAGAATGACTGTAGTATATTTACATTCAGCAACTTCGCAAAATCTGAGAAAGGCACAAGTATTGTGCTTAATTTGTAGAAAGATACATAGAAGTAAAGAGTGCTTGTTGAGAAGAAGCTAGAAAGGACAGCTAAAGAGTTAAAGCTTTGGGGGAGATGTGGGAGTTGTATTGGAATCGAAGATTATGAGCACAAAAACTTAAGAACTGAACAGAAGCTGGCATGGCTAAATTATAGGGGTAGAAAAACAGGATGGGGAAATCTTATTAGAATCAAGGATGCATCTTTCAGAAAAAATGAGTAATGAGAAATTTAAAATGGGACACAAGAAAACCTAGGAAAAAAAACCCACAACCAAACCCCCCCCCCCAAAACAAAAAAAAAAACAAAACAAAAACTACCAAAATAAGCACCTAATTCCAGCACCTTCAATATAAAAATGCAATTAGGCAAGCAAAAAGTTTATAACTTGTCAACAGCATGAAAACTGTTACTGAGCTCTTTTAAAGTATAAAAGGGGCAGAAAGCATACGAGAGTTCTCTAGATGATTGCTATATAAAAGAAACGCTTGGTGAGAATGCAATATACAGCTGGTTCGTCCTTGTGAACAAACAGATGGACTCAGTATGGAGAAGCCTAGGAAGCATCTATGAGAAGGCCCTCTGTGGACTTCAGTATGCAGGCTTCATCTGGTGTCAAAGTGGCAGATGGAATTTAATGTATGTTAATATTAAGTGATACTCACTGGGAAGATAAACCTGAATTTTTATATACACACGATGGATTTTGCGATAACTATTACATTCAGGAATGACGTACAGGAGCTGTTATAAATAATTCACCAAAATGCTGCTTCTGTGCTTAGTAACCACCAGCAAATTGCATTTTAATAATTATTAAAAAAAAATCAAAAAACAAAGAAATCCAGAGACTCTGTTTTTCCATTTCAGTTCAGCATGTAAGTCTTGTATACTGTGTCATGTTTCTTGTTGTCTAAAATACCAAGAGAGTTAAATGTTAGTCTGCTTTTATCTGTATGAGGAATGGAAGGGAAACGGCTTGAGAAGTATGCTACAGATCTACACAATATTGGGTGGCATGCGGAAAAACAAATAAATGGGGGTGTGTTGAATTAAGCCTTTGCCTACAGAGTTGAAAACAGGAAAAAATACACAATATCTGAAGGAGGCCCTGCTGTTCTACCTGCAAAGTGTCAACTTTGCAAGAGGTCAAAAGCCACTGGAACAACTGGTGGGAAACTTGATTTCTATAAATGTTTTGAATAATTTAATGCAATTTTGTGTGGGGAAAAAACTTTTTGTTTTTCAGTTGGGTTTCTTTTTTGGGGGGGGGGGGGGCAGGGGGGAGGTGGAGTGGAATTTGTGGTTTTGTTGTGGTGATTTTTTTGGTGGGGTTTATTTCCCACAATTTCAAGTATTCTTACTTTTTACTAGCTATATTATACTGCAGCTGTTTTTCTCCCAACAAGGCAAATCTAACAGTAGCCACCCCTGTGTATGCCTGCAGTACAACTTACACATGTTCAAGCTCTTTTTTACCATTCTCAAATGCCAGGACTTCAGCTATGACAGTAGGAAGGAGAGCTGTTTTACTCGGTTTTTAGGTAGGCTGGATCTGTCTTTCTATAACCAAGTTTACATTAGTAACTTAGTTCAGAGCTATCTCACACATATCTGCACTATACTGAGGAAATGCCTCATACAGAAGTATGAAGAAGATGGATCTAGATGTGGTACTAGATTACTTTGTAATCCAAACGTGATTTAAGTAGGGATTAATTTCAGTAATACAATTAAATGCCTTGACTGACCTATAATTTCTCTTCTGGGTAAAGTTTTCATTTTATTCCGGAGTAGTGACACTACCCACAACACTGAGTAATCCGAGAAGCAAATATTTTTCTTAGTTGTCCATATCTGCTATGTATATGGATATCTGTAGCTTAGTATTTCTTTATCTGATTAATTTTAATTTTCTATTAATTAAGTATTAGCTGGTGTGAGATTACTATTGAGACTTGCTAGCATATTGTAAAATTTTTGTGATGGGTAATATTTTAATAAATGTTCCTATATATGCCATAGATATAAATATTCTTCTTTGATAAATCATCCTGTTAACCATACTGTTTTGCAGTTCTGAATAATTAAGATAATTATAATCTTTACTCTGTGTTCTGTAGTACACACATAAATTAATTCTTTGTATTCAAGAAGTGAAAGCAAAGTTTGCTAAAGATTTTCTATTTTTTTTTGTTATTGTCTTTTGGGGACATGGGGGAAGTTGTTATTAACAGTGACAAATAAATCTTGAAGCTAATGTAAATGTCCAGGAATCTACTAAGAATTTTCACTTTACATTTTCATTATGTTGTATTATGGTTAGGTAAAGGCTTTATCTGGTGACAAAAAGTCTAATTCATTTACAGGGAACATTATCAACATTCATGAAAATGAATGCAGCATCCCATGAAAACAGAAACAGATTTCAGTGAAATTACAGCCATTAAATACTTAGACTAGGTTAGCTTTTCTGTACTTTGTTGTTTCTGTGTTTTCAGTCTTTTTAACTGTGTATTCTACTTCCAACTATTGTGAGTTTTTTCCCTTTTTCCCACCCTACTCTGCTGCACATCAAGGTGCAAACAGTGTTGAACCGGAAGATGAGTCTTTGTAGTGTTTTTTTAGTCAGAATTAAGTCAGTCCCTGTCTTAAGATAGAAAAAAAATATATCTGCCATTTCAGCCTCAGGATGGAGGGGTTGTAGGTTCTCTCAGTGACTGAGATTTACTGATGAATATTGTAATATAATCTGATGGGGCTTTTTTTCATCATAAACATAATAAAATTGTCTAGCTGAAGTTTAAAATACTTAGGACTAGGAAAAGTGGCAGCAAAACAACTTTTATGTTTATTTATTATGTAGATTAAAGCCTTTGCTTTATATGTGCTTTGGTTTTATTCTGAAGGGTCCATCTTGCTGGGATGATGTGCTGATGCCCAACAGAATAAGAGGTGTTTGCCAGTCCCAAAGGTGCAACGGAAATGTAGCGGTAAGATTTTGACATATTTCCTCAAGTATGGTGGCACTTACAAGAATAAGTATTTGTAGGAATTCTAACCATGTTAGAATTGCAGAAATAGATGTAAACTGACATGTATGGTACACTTCCAAAGAGCTGTTCAGCATCAGATAACATCTCTAATGTTTAGCAAAAGGGAACAACTTGGTCAGTTGCTGCTTGGAATGAAGGATAAAATCGTTTTATATTATCTATTTCACTGAAGTAGAACTCTTACATATTCAAGTATGCATAGGTTAAATGCAGAATGTAATACTTAAAACATTTATGTCAATGCTTATTTTATAACTATCGTAGAAATTTGAAGCTTTCAGGGCAGTGATAATATACACACCTTCTTACATATCAAATCTTTCAAATCTGATTTTCAGGCTTTGCCCACAGAAGTAGATTCTTCTCACCAGTTATTTTACAGCCTGTTCTCCCACATGCTTATCATTGTTTCCTTTGCTTCTTGAAGTGACATCAGTAAGAAGCAGCATAGACACCTCAAATTCTTAAGGAACATTTTTCAAATCATTATTTCAGTAAACTTATATCTGTTAATGCATTAGATATTGTTTAGTACTGAAGAGGTCTGTTGTGGTTTAAACCCAGTCAGGTAACTCGTTCACTCGCTCCCCCCCTTCTTTCCCTCCCCCTACTCCCAGAGGGACAGAGACGAGAATTGAAAAGAATGCAACTCCTACGGGTTGAGAGAAGAACAGTCCAGTAACTAAGGCATAACACAGATCACTACTGCTACCACCAATAATAACAGTGATAAAGGAAATAACAAGGGAAGAGAATACATCATTTCACCACCAGCTGACCGATAACTTGCCCCCCCCCCAGCCCAACCAAGCACCGACGCATACCTCCTCCAACCCTGCAGTCCCCCAGACCTTCCAGCTAACTCCCAGTTACATCCTGGGCATGACGTGCTGTGGTATGGAATACCTCTTTGGTCAGTTTGGGTCAGGTGTCCTGTCTCTGCTTCCTCCCGGCTTCCCCTCCTCCCTGGCAGAGCGTGAGGCTCACAAAGTCCTTGGCCAAACCAAAACATCTCTATCAGCTCTGTTCCCGAGCCGAAAGTCAAAACACAGCACTGCACCAGCTACCAAGAAGGAGAAAAATGACTGCTACTACTAAACCCAGGACAAGATCTTAGAGGTATTTCCTTCTCAGGAAAAAGCCTAGTTTTAAGTGGTTTTTCTTGATGTAGCTTTTAGAGGTGAACACAAAACTTTGTATGTATGAAAGGATTCTGTTCATCAAATATTTGCAGACTGGGGTGACATGAGTGCCTTTTCACAGGCACTCATCTGATCTGGTGCAGTCTTCTCTTTGTCTTCCCAGCAAGACAGTCGTGAAGTAGCACATCCATGCAAGTTCATAGGTGTCTCCTGCTTGGCCACAGATGGTGTCAAGAATTTTTTTATGTAGGTTTAGGTACCAAACAGTTGTTTTAACAGCATGTGATTTATAGTTGTCTCCATGCATGGCCAAAAAACTGAAGTCTTGCAGTTTTCAGGCTTCTGCTTCTGAGAGTGCTCCATATAGTAGCTGCTCATGTAGCTCAACCACTCTTTTGAAAGTGGCAGTTAGTAGACATGCATGTGCTGTTCTCTCAGCAATACTCTGCTAGGTATGTAAAAGAAAGCACCACTTTGCCTCAGGGCAGATTGACTGTATCTGCCTGTTATGCTTCAGGAACTACTCCTAAGAGTTGATTGCCTGATCAACTTTTGCTTCCTGTTTGTTGTCACTGTGCTACTACCATCACTGGGGAGAAGTCCCTCCTGTTTTCTTTAAAGACAGAGGAAACTTAAGATGATAAAGTGTGCTTTTGGCAAGGGCAGGAGTCTCCTTGACAGGTATCAGCTTGAGCCCTTATACACAAATGCACATAATGAAGATTCTCAGTCTTGTCATGCCCTGGGACTCTCAGAATATACCTGACTACTTACAGTGGGTTTTTTTTGGTGTGGTGTGGGTGGGTTTTTTTTGCTTGTGATTTTGGGTTGTTTTTTTTTTTTTTTAATTCAATCTCTGTGAAAAAAACAATGCCATTTGGCAACCCTGGCTCCTGAGCTACAACACATTCCCTCACAGAATCATTGTTTGTTTGGTTTTGTGTTTTCCCCCTGAAAAGCAGAAAATGGAGTGACTTATCATCCTGGCTTTGTGGAGGCGAGGGGGGTGAACCCAAAAAACACTGACCATAAAAATGTAATCTTAACTATCTAATGCTGTGGCAAACAAGTGTTACCCAGTCAGCTAAGTCCCATGACTCCAGTTGCTGTCAATGCCTCTGGCAAGTTACATACTTAGCAGAGCCAAGGATCAGTGTTATCTTTCAGTAAGGCATCACTGAACAAAATTCAGGAGACAACCTGTTTTAAGCATATGTTAGCTGAGGTTAATTAGTAAGTGATTTACAAACTGCTCTTTATGTCATGAAGAAATTGTATCTGTATGTCTGAGGTCCAACTTGTGCTGTATCTGAATGTTATCAGAAAGTTTGATGTAGACAGAGGGAGATGAAGTCTTGTTCTATAGACGAAGAGCCATTTTTTCCCTCCTACAGGAATGTAGTTATTTCAGTGTCACAAAATTGTGAAGCACTGACACATCAGGGTTTTTATTGGCCTCTTTTTTAATTATTGCTTATTTTTTTAAAGGATAGAATTCTTTAAAGGAGGAAACTTAACTCTGCGTTTCTGTCAGCCAGCATATTCTTTGACTAGAAACATTCCCAAATGGCTGCATAATCAAAGAGCAAAATTTACTGCTATGTTTAAAGAAAGGAGTCATGTGAACAAGCTCCTATTCTTCTCCCTTGAAAAGAGAGAAATGAACTTACTCTCTTTGCAGTAAAGGAGAACTGTGTTTGTCCAGTGGAATATTTGAAGTAATTAATCAAAATTTTCCATATTTGTTTGCTATCTAAGATTTTCAAATAATGTTAGAACTATTTTATATAATTACTTTGTCCAAATCAATGGCTAAATCGTAATAGTGAGATCACAATACATTTTCCAAGATAAAAAGAAAAAGCTTTGCAAATATCAGTAATGCAGAATCCAATGTCCATGGAATTAATTGTGAAAGTATAATTTATTCTATTTCTGTGTATAAAAATGCTATTACATTTTTTTCTCTTCATAAGTTCATGCTATTCAGAAGTCATCAAGAGCCACAGAAATAATACAGCTGTTTCGTAGGCATGCAGAGACAGAGCTGTAACACCACTGTAAACCACTGAAGTAGTGATTTCATAGGAATGAGCTTCACAGCAGTCTCGCACTCGAGTGAACACAGTGTCATGTCTCCAACACAAAATATAGGGTAAATTGTTTTGAACTTCATAAACCTCAGGTGTCCCTCAGGGATTGGTGTTGGGACTGGTCTTGTTCAACATTTCTGTCGGTGACATGAACAGTGGGATTGAGTGCACCCTCAGCAAGTTTGTCGATGACACCAAGCTGTGTGGTTCAGTTGATACGCTGGAGGGAAGGAATGCCATCCAGAGGGACCTTGACACACTTGTGAGGTGGGCTGATGCCAACCTCATGAAGTTTAACCATGCCAAGTGCAAGGTCCTACACCTGGGTCGGAGCAATCCCAGGCACAGCTACAGGTTGGGCAGAGAAGAGATTCAGAGCAGCCCTGCAGAGAAGGACTTGGGGGTGTTGGTGGATGAGAAAATGAACATGAGCTGGCTTCAGTGTGTGCTCACAGCCCGGAAAGTCAACTGTATCCTGGGCTACATCAAAAGAAGCGTGACCAGCAGGTCGAAGGAGGTGATCCTGCCCCTCTACTCTGCTCTTGTGAGACCTCACCTGGAGTATTGTGTGCAGTTCTGGTGTCCTCAACATAAAAAGGACATGGAACTGTTGGAACAAATCCAGAGAAGGGCCACGAGGATGATCAAGGGACTGGAGCACCTTCTGTATGAAGATAGGCTGAGAAAGTTGGGGCTGTTGAGCCTGGAGAAGAGAAGGCTGCGTGGAGACCTCATAGCAGCCTTCCAGTATCTGAAGGGGGCCTATAGGGATGTTGGGGGAGAGACTCTTCATTAGGGACTGTAGTGACAGGACAAGGGGTAACTGGTTAAAACTGAAACAGGGGAAGTTTTGATTGGATATAAGGAAGAAGTTCTTTACTGTGAGGGTGGTGAGACAATGGAATTTGTTGCCCAGGGAAGTTGTGAATGCTCCATCTCTGGCAGTGTTCAAGGCCAGGCTGGACAAAGCCTTGGGTGGCATGGTTTAGTGTGAGGTGTCCCTGCCCATGGCAGGGGGGGTTGGAACTAGTTTATCTTAAGGTCCTTTCCAGCCCTAACTCCCTAACTATTCTATGATTCTATGAACCTGTGGAATGTTCTTCAGATTCTCACTTGGTGTGCAGAAGGAGTTGTAGACATTAACAAACAATAATGGAATGGTTGAACAGGGTTATAAGTCAGATATGGCTTAAGCCATTGTGAATAAGGAAAAATTATAACCATTTTAACGGAAATAAAACTGTACTTCTATCCCTGGTTATGTCTCACTACTGTTACCTTGATTTATTTATTCCTGATGAAGACTGCCTTGACTGTCTATCATTATAACTGAATAGCGTTTTTCTTTTCTTCAGTCCCGAAAAGATGTTACTTTTCAGCAAAGTGTTTCTAAAAGGAGCAACAGAACTTCTATGATCTCATAGATCACCCCTAAGTATTGGGTTTCCTTAAATATCAGTATACCCTTCTGAATAAGCTATATATCAATCTTTTGTGTCCACAGCAAAGATTTTTTCCTGTGGAGTCACTTATCTTAAAAACATATATGATTAGTATATGGTCATCATACAGGGTTTTAAGCAGTTGGATTCCACTATAATGTAGCCTCACTGTTCAATGTTCCAGGGTATGTCTGGGGGCAAAGTGTTTGCAAAAGGAAGCAGGAAGCACGTTATGTTTTGTGTTTTGAGCGGGTTATTTA